AAATAAATAAAATACAGGGAAAAAAAATTCTAGGTAAAGTGCGCTCTAGTGGCAGATTTCTGAAACATTTTTATTTTGTAACGATGACTTTTACTAAATCAGGGCTGTGTGTAAAATTCCAGCTTATTCCGATGAGAATTGAACCCACTGTGTTAAAAATAAAATAAAAAAAAATGAATTTTGACAAACTATAACTCGGAAAATATTACGATTTCGAATTTTTGTTACATGACTTACCACGTTGAATCTTTCCTCCAAGTTTCGAAACTCAATTTCCGAACACCCTGTAGATTGTGGGTAAGGAATCCATAAAAAATAACCTATACCTCTTGACAAGCTTGGCAACCTCTTAATTGGATTGACCAGATCGGTCAGTTGATTAGTCAGCTATAACTTAATAAACGAGGTTTCTGTTGGCCAGCTCGAAAACTTATCGAAAACCCACTAAATTTATATCGGATATAATATCAATCTAAAATTTTGGTGAATAGATATACTTTGTAGGAAAACGTACGTGTTTTTATGGTATTAACCTGAGTTGAAATACTAAGAGGTTGTCGAACTTGAGCAGAAATATTGTGCAATTTAAAAATAAAATAAAGACAATTCAAATTCGACATTCTCTTAATATTTCTACTGAATCACTGCCTAACACTTTCAAACAAACTAGTAAGTTTGAGTAATTAAAAACAGCCGCAAAACTAGGTCAAACGTGTGAAGCAAACGACACACAAATAAAGCTGATAACGACATCTTGCATTTACACGTCAGTGGGGTGTTTTTTTTCCATGTATGGATTATTCGATTGACATGAATTCTATTTATCCGAAAGATAATCTTGTGGCATTACATTTTAAATATGATTTCTGGCATATGACCGCCACGGCTGGAGCGGATGTAGTCCAATCTGGATGTCCAATTTTCGATGACTTTTTCCAATATTTGTGGCCCTATATCGGCAATAACACGGCGAATGTTGTCTTCCAAATGGTCAAGCGTTTGTCGCTTATCCGCATAGATCAATGACTTTACATAGCCCCACAGAAAGTAATCTAGCGGTGTTAAATCCCAAGATCTTGGAAGCCAATTCACAGATCCAAAACGTCAAATTAGGCGGTCACCAAACGTGTCTTTCAATAAATCGATTGTGGCACGAGCTGTGGGACATGTTGCGCCGTCTTGTTGAAACCACATCTCCTGCACATCATGGTTATTCAATTCAGGAATGAAAGAGTTAGTAATCATAGCTCTATACCGATCACCATTGACTGTAACGTTCTGGCCATCATCGTTTTTGAAGAAATACGAACCAATGATTCCACCAGCCCATAAAGCGCACCAAACAGTCAGATTTTCTGGATGTAACGGTGTTTCGACATACACAGTTTTGTTTGTTGACATAGCCATTCAACCAGAAGTGCGCTTCATCGCTAAACAAAATTCGCTTATGATAATCGGGAACAACGGCAATCTCGTTTTGGGCCCATTCGACGAATCTATGCCTTACTTGATGAATTCATGATGAATTGCCAAACCAAACTGAGAATAAATCACTTGACAGCTGTTAAATTGGTCGCCATCTTGAACAGTAATGCCAACTTAAAGTTCTATACATCGAAAAAAAGCACCCATTATTAGCTGGACCATGCAAACCACTTAGTTTCGGCTAACATTTACGTCAGCATTAAGAAAATGGGTACAAAATAATACGAACCATTAAATAGACGCACCTTTGCCAACGTAAACGTATTGTTTTCAACTCGTAAAGGTTGCGACTCAAAAAGAAAATGAGCAAACAAAGTAATACGTTGGCTTATTAAATTATTAATAATGCTCAATTATTACAGCGCCAGAGGCTCCAACTGTTAGGGGCCTTGGGGCTTTCATTAGTCAACTCCGCTAAATTAATTACGCCAAGCTGCGCATTGCACAGGCAAGGTACCAATTACCTAGCCAACAGAGTCGGTTCGAGCTGCCGGTGTTGGGTACCACCTTTACCAGTACCACTCGAATGAAGTAAAGTTGCAGAGACATAGAAAACTTTAAAAACAAGTTGATTTTATCCGAGGATTCGTGGTTTTTGCAAAAAATTGATGGCCGATAACCATGTCAAACTAATCGGATGGCAGTACTATTGCAACTAAATAAGAAAACAATTAGTTATTACACTCAGTGAACAAATCACAAAAACTAATATTAACAACTTTGCTACCGCAAGCTCAGAACAAACCAACTTTGTTTGAGTGGTATTGAACTAGTAAGGAAGACCTAGGTTTAGATTTTACATAATTTTTATACCAAGAATAAAACTCCGAAGAATAAAAAGTGTATTGTATTGATGTGCAGACTATTCAATATTATGTATAGTTAGATTGGATTTCCTAATTGCTAAACTCTCTTTGACTGGCAATGTCCTAACATTAACATTAACATTTTCCTTATTGTCTACCACCACGCACAAATATTTAGAATAGTACGTATTACTTTGATATGATTAGTATTTAAATTTTTCCAAATTCAGAGCACTTAATCCAATTTTGGAATTGTTGTTAGATGGAACAGCTACTCCATGATGGTACCAGTTCTTTCTCTAATATTAGCCTGTCCTCCTATTTAAGCTTTTGGGTTATTGTGTCCGGTCGTAATCTTAACTTTTCTTTCTTCTTCTTGTTTCTTTTCGTATTGCTATTTGAAACTTAAGAAAGGAATGCGCCTGTTCTCAAGAAGCGTCGTTATTCTCTGCTCCACGTGACTGAATGTCAGCAATATTTTGCTATTTTTTGATATTGTAAAATACCTTACATCTTTCACAATATCCGCTTCCAGTAATCGAAAATGCAAAACTAGCCGACCCTGCGTTTTCGCAAACTTCTGGTGACTCCGTCCGGAGCTTGTCATTGAAATAAATCCTCTGCCGGTACTACTTGGGTACGCAATCAATGAAAATCGTGCTAAGCAAAATTATACGGTGTTGTTTTAATGTATGATGGTACCGCTCTCTACTTACGGTTAAAAACTGCCGCCCAGCTACCGGAATGAATTATTATTTATTCGCGTTTGATTAATTGCGAGCTATCGTTGGGGTCAAATTACGAGATCCTCGCTGTAATAAGCGGTTACGGGGGAAATTATTGTATCGCCTTTTATTTCGTATCGTTTTCCAACGGCAATAATCACTCTGGACTTTCGAAGGTGATTGCGATCGACGTCACTCCTATATAGTCACCAGACGACTAGAGATTTCTTGCGAATGGGTTGGAGAACGCAGTTAAAAATGTTCAAAGGCTACGGCGTCGGGTATTTTGTTAGTTGCAGGGCAATGGAATAGAGATTGAGGTGAGTGTCCTAGTACACGTTTATGGAGAATGACTTACGATAAAAACTTGAAATGTTGGTTACTTATACATGCGGTGAGGCCAGATATGCTCGCAAAAGTATATCAACATTCGTTTCTTAAATTCTGCAAAATATTCTACAACTTTTTAATGTAACAAGTACATACCTATCTTGAACATTTTCGGAGATAAAAAATACTTTTAAAAAAATTTGGCAGCAAACAAACCGATTTAGAATAATAATTTTTTTCGCAACCCGTACAGCTAAAAACTTGAATTTTTGGTAGCGATTCTCTATTAAGTTGCTCTATCATAATATAATATGACAATTAACTTATCGTGATGCGTTCATAAGATAAGACCCAATTGGCAAGATAAAAAAATCCATGTTACGTGGGAATTTTAAATGGCACACCTCAAATTTTATATTGGCACGTAAATGAGCAATTAATTTGCCATCTAAAAGTACCAAGCAATGGTATATCTATTATCACTGCGTTTCGTTGTATAAGCAATAAAATCAAAATATTGCAATCAACTCGCCATGGTGACGTGTTTTGTAAACAAATTTATCTTTGATATAAATAAGCTTAATATCCGTTATTAGCATGTTTAAAGGAGTAATTGCAGCAGTGAAACTGGAAGGAAATACATATGGCACCAAAAATTTAATATTCACAGAAACTGTTGCTAACTCAACAACTAATGTTAAAGACTAATAAGCGGTTTTAAATTGTCCTCTTGTCATTTTTGTGGGGATTTTCAAAAAATTAGTTTTAGGAACCTCTTATTGGAATTATTTAAGAACTGGAAGAACGACTTCTGCACTACATTAACGATACAAATGAAAATCACTTGCAGTTTATCGTTAAAGTCTTGAATAAACTGGAAGGATACTGTAGAGATTGAATTGATAGAAACGGGGGTCATATTGAGCAGTTGTAAATAAGTTATTTATTAATAAATTAGTTTTCCATAGTTTAATTTTTTTTTCGACTCATTATCTCAAAAACGAGAAACAGAATCGAGAAACAGACAATGTATTTATTTTTGTAATCGTAAAAATGTGCTCTTTAAAGATGCGGACGTATATACTGGGTGTTTCATTGCAAAAAAAGCCCCAATTACAAAAATATTACACTTCGGTGGTTCAGTTCTTTATTCTGACGAAATGAATGTGACAATATAGAGTAAAACGCCAAGCTCATCACCGACCATAAAGAACGCTTGCAGGTGGGTTGTCAATATATAAGGAATGACCCTGATATATTAATCTGAATTTTGGGCCATTTTTTATAAACGACAATTTTTAAAAAATATCGCTGAGGACATGCTGCGGCCAAATTGAAAACTGTCGAAGCTACGAAGTGCCATTGGCCATATTGAATGCCAAAATCTTACTAATCAATTAATGGCGTGTACATTTTAATGTTTGTTATGAAAGAGCCTGTATTATCAACATAAGAGCCCTTGTATATATAATAGTTGTGTTTAAAAATTGTTTAAACTTAAACAGATTAAATTCATCAATTCTAATCCAATCATCGGGCTTCCTATTGCTTATTTTGCTTCAGTTTGTTTAGTGGATATTCGTTGTTTGTCCTTAATTACTAATTGCCAAATGAAGCGGATGTAATAGATCTATAAGCAATCATTATTACCTACCTGTAGTTCTCATGCCAGCTGCTCAAATTTTCCGCCATCTTGTTGTTCTGAGTGGCAGCCGCGTGTCTAGCCCACACTGCAGTCTGCTGCGGAGATACCGAATGCTGACTCGGTGAAACTTGGGCCATATTGTACCCGAACTGATTAACCCCGTTACTCTCCAACGGGGAACTAGAGTTGTACGCACCGTATAGAGACGCGGCGTTCTGCGCTGCTGGGGGACTAGTACTGATACTGGCACTGACGGTACCGATATTCGAACTCGCAGCGGATAAAGAATGAGGCAACGCGGAAGTGCTCGATGTGAGAGGCGCGCTGGATGCCAGCGAAGAACTCAGAGCCGAGTAACTTTGTTGAGTACTCCACGGAGTCTGATTGAATGCTCCTGCCGCTTCGTATTGATGTTGGACCGCTGCCGGGAAAGCGCTTTGAAGCGACATCGTGTTGAAAGCGTTTAGCTGTTGCGAATTGAGCTGCTTTCTGAGCCTAGCCCGACGGTTGGAGAACCACACCTGCACTCTGGCTTCGGTAAGTTTGGTTTTCTGAGCTAGTTCTTCGCGCGTGTATACGTCGGGGTATTGGGTCCTGCCGAACGCCCGTTCGAGTGCTTCTAGTTGTTCGCCGGTGAAGGTGGTCCTCGATCGTCTTTGTTTACGTTTAAGTGGGATTCCTGGCTCCGATTCGGTATCGCTTTCATCGCAGGAAGACGTGGGTCCTGCAACAAAAATTATGGACGTAAGCTTGGTGGTTTTGGTAAATTTTCGTTTTAATCATCAAGTAAAATCACAGTGACTGGCGACAGCGTTTGACTAATATTTATTTATTTATTTAAAAAAGTCTACCTAACGGGCATAAAGCCCAACTAATAAGTAGTTGTAGCCTAGCATAAACATTAACTCTAATAAAATAGCAAGAGAATGGGAAAAGACTGAAATAAATAATTATAGTTGATAGGGCAATAATGTTATTACCTTAAATTGCGAAAAAAAAGTGCAGATCGTGTTGAGCATGGTACTTGCAGCACATTGAGAAAATAGGTGAAACTTTTAAAACATTATTTCTTGGTGTGGACAGAAAGAATGTGTTACTATGTCTAGAGTTAATAAGGGGAACCAGAAAATTTTGTCCATGTAATAGGTCAGAACAATCGATCAAGTTATTTAAGATCTACTTAATAATATTGTATACGAAAAGCCTAAACTAAACTTATAGTATACAGACTTCAGCAACTTACGCTGAATTTTTTCAGGCTATTAATACGACAGTTGTACCCAGTAGACCAAACTACTGAGGTATACTCCAACTTAGACCTGAGTTATACAACATTTTTCTATATTTTTAAAGTCGGTGGTGCAATGGGTATAATAAATCTATAGCTTTTTGAGGTTTCTGGCAGTACCTTATTAACATGAGGAACAAATAATAATTTCGAGTTGAATATTACTCCTAAGTTAGAACACACAATTTACAGCTGCACTCAAAGGTGGTAAAGAGAGATTATATTACACTTGGCTGTATTAAGTTGCAAGTTATTACTTAGGGAGCTGCAATTGTTGATTTGCTTGAAACTATGCTGAAGAGGAAGACAATCCTCTGAACAGCGTATTAAAAAAAATACGTGGTCCACATATATCAAAAAACTGTCAACAAGGTTTATGTCAATGTTATTAATAATTTTAAGTAGGACGTATAAACAGTATACTATGCAACAACTGTGGTAAACGGCATTTAAACTTAAAATTATCAACGCGTGTTGCATACTATACTTTTTCACGACCTTCAGTTTTTGGGTACATTTTTGCAAAACAATACGAATATATTCACTGACAAGACCGTCAGAATTGCCAAACGTCAAAATTCAGGCAGTGCGGTAATATCTTCGAAAACACCCGATTGCTCCCAAACTCGTGCGGTAATATCACGGAAATGTCCGAAGTGTCTCGGTCCCGTGGGAAACGAAACTGACGAGGAACATTTCACTAAACTAGAGACTCACAAATTATTTAAAATGACCACAAAAAATATGTAATTCACCTCAAAATTCTTGAACGCCATTTAAAAAAAAGAAGAAAATAATTACAAAGGTGTGAAAATTTTTGAAAATTAAAAAAATCATAATATCCTACTCTAGGGAAACTCAACAGATTAGAGTAGTTTTGATGGAAAAATGGCAATTAATAGAGTGGACATTTATCGATATAAAAACTGTAACTCACAAAAGTCGTCGATTAAATAAACATAAAAACTTAATTGCTGGATTGTTTCGGCATCGTATGCGACCCAATTACCAGTTTGGAAGTTATAATTTGAAAAATTCGAACGAACGTATCCGTAAAAGCCGCGTACGCCCGTAACCGTCCATTAAGAGGCATTTTGCATTGTGAGCCGGATAATATTTAAATTTCTTTCGGAACATACGTCCGGGATCTGCAATTACTTAAGGTAGCGTGTAGTTCGAAGCGTACGCGTGTTATCAACGGCAACACTGTTTTTCGGTTTTATTAGGGCCGTCATATTTGTGTGAAACGGAAGAGATGAAAGCTCGATTCCACAGGAAATAAAATACAATTTCAGACGAACAAAAGAAATGTGGGGAATTCGTCTATTTTGATATTCTCTGACTTTAAATACGACAGCCTTTTTATTGCTATTATGCATTGGTGTATTTCAGTTGATTTTACCATTAAAAAAAATAGTACATTGTGCGTATGGCATTGTGACAAAGACATGGCACAGAATTGGCGATCCTAATAATCAAACAATCGAGGTTAATTTTGGGTTTAAGAATTTATTTCAAAACAAGATCTTCGAACACATTTTCAACCACCTTTTTTCCAAAATCAACGAAAAGTTGATGATTTCAAAAAAAATTATATAAGAAAAATTCTTTAAGATATAATCTCTATGCTGTGATAATATATAGTTACGCTGCTTGCTGATATCTATGAAAAATACATAAAACCCCAACATTCGAGGTGAGATTTGGAGAATTACTTTCAATTATTTAATTCGCAGCCTCTTTTCGATGTTCCAATGATGAGAGGTCAGTTCGAAGCTCCCGGTGTAAGACTAGATTGATGTAGGAATATGAAACTTGATAGCAGCTTGAAAGTTATAGGCTTAGATTCTCAAAAATTCGTCGGTCCTGGTACAAATGAAACCCGTTCAAAAAAGGTTAGCACGGTGCTTTCACATGAAGTCGCGAAGAGATCATTTTCCTACTCATTATCCATAGCAGTGAGCGAGAAAATTTTATTTAGGGGAGATTCTGACAATGAAGGACGCGGAGACGTGAAAATACAGATACATTGCATTATTGTAGTGTACCATATTGCTTATCGTCTTTTGTTGTTTTTAGGCGGTAGCACTGATTTTCGATGTGTGAAAACGTTCTGATTTATGTTTAGAACTCGGTAGTTGGTAATTGAAGATATTTAAACTCTTCGCGTTTTCACAGAATCCGCAAAATGATGGTTTTTGGCATATTTTAAATAAAAGTTTTTGTGTGTTATCATTGAGAGAGATTAAAATTTAAAATTTCAAGTCGTTTGCCTAAAGGTTCTTTATTTTGGATTGCAGTTTGGTACTCGGAAGTATATGATTTTGTTGGATGTCTGTGGACGTTCTTAATGTGTACAGCAAACATTAAAATATATACAGAAGCTCCGTATGGTTGCTTTCAATTGCCTATATTAGAAATGATGAGTGCGAATGAAACATAGAGAGAAAGAGAGAGCTTTTAAAACTAAAACCCGCAAAAGATGTTATTGATACTTTAGCCACAGTTTTCAGAAATAATAGTCTATCCGCAAATGGATACCTCCATATTTTGTTGCGGTTTTATGTTAACTTTAAGGTTTAAGTTTGACTGAAGAATATAACAATATGGAAATAAAGTAATAGTTCCTGAACGACAGGAATTTTGGCCACAATAGTCCGTACTGTTTATTGAATGAATTTTATAATTTAGCTGAATCATTAATCATTATAATATTATATCATTAATAAAGAATTTGACAATAACACATTTGTTTTGTTTTCTTTAATTTGGGAATATTAATATTATAAAAATTCATTGCGTAACCTTTAAACACAGAAACGCTGATACATGAATAGTTGGGCAAAACTGCGTACCTCTATAAGTATTAATCCGTTTTATATGCAAAATGCGCTAGAAAAAATTCGAACAATTTGTTATTGGCAACACAGACAATATGACAGCCGATTTTGACAGACGTATTAATTATACGGACACGTGCACAACACGTGTATTGTTAATAACATCACGGAACATTTCGTAAACGTTTGGCACAAAGGACCCAGTGAAGCCTTCGGTTTTTTTCCAGCGGTCTTTGATTAATATTAACAAATTCATCAACATAATACGGCATTAATAAAAGTGACTGATAAAAGGCGTGAAGCAAATCGAAATGTGCGGTTTATTATTATGCCCCGAACTTATAAATTTATCTATTTGATGTAATTAACGATCCTAATGTTAAACGCTTCTGAGCTTTATGCGGTGATTAATAGTCATAATTATTATTAACGACTTGAGTGTTGGGAAAAAAGAAAATCGAACATTGTTTTTGCTTTTTTTCCAGTTCGCGTCAGATTACCACGATGTGTAATTACGCAGAGCGAAGAAGTATAGAGGGTAATTCAAATTTCGAAAACTAACGAGATCCTTAAATTGGGATAGAGCTGCTAGTTTCAGCGCATAGTAATATGTCCTTTAACAACTTTTATTTATAATACCACATTAGTTGGCTTTCACTTTTTCTGATGTGTTAGTTAACTCCATATGACAGATGATTTTATCAGAGCTTTATAGAAACTGCCTTTCTTAGTAAGGAAAAACGAATTATTAAAACTTTGCGCGTAATAGTATATGAGACTAATAAGTCAACTGACATTTATAAATAATCAAAAACCCTTTTGTCTTATTTTCATATTTATTTTGGTTTTACTCGTATTGCTATTAATTTCTTAAATGCAAAAATCGACGTAAGACGCTAAACCTAACAAAATGAAATGTGAATTTTTTGCGTGTTTAATGTGCGTGTTTAATGCGGCTATAGTTTTTTTGCTGGAGCAATGCAATGAGAGACAAAATCTAAATAGGGACGGGCACTAAATTTCGAACAAATTTAGATGTACATGATAGTACCTTATTGATTTGAGGAACAAAGGGCAACCTACGCCAAATGTTACAAACACTATTACTCCAGGTTTCTTTTTAAGATTCCCCAGATCTTGACTGTTGTTCGTTGTTTGTATTGGACTGTTGTTGCTATTCTATAGTCACCGAGATAATTTTTTACATCGGTCGAGACTATAGCACAAGATCTAATAACTACAAATAATAATCTGGATCTTTTCATTCCTAGATCCTCTCTGATCCATAAATCTATTATAATGGAGTCAGGACTTAACAGAACCTGATCGGCTATTGTCTGATTATTTTTTGTGAAGCTTCTTTGGTGTTATTTTTATTTTTTTTGATAGTGACGACAGTATATGTGAAAATTAATATATGTTTTCTTCATGTATAAATGAAATATCCAATTTAGGCTAGCTTGAGAAACTTTTGTTTTATTGAAGCAGATTTTTATAAGAATTTTTTTCAAATTGATGCGATTTTTATGATTGCAGTATCTCTCTTCGGACATTGAGACAATAAAAAAGGGCAGCATTTAAAAGGGGTATATAAAA